AATTTTTTTTTGGTAATGAAAACAAATTTCATAACCAATTATATTTTAAAAAAAAAATTACTTTAATGGACAATTTACATGTAAAATAAAGTCAAACGAACACTAAACTTTGATTAAAAAAATATTTTTTTTATTTTTTTTTTACTTTTTGGCAATGGAACAAATTTTATAACCAATTGTGGAAAAAACTATCACTTTAATGGACAATTTTCATGTAAAATAAAGCCAAACGAACACAAAATTTAAAAATTTTTCGGGTGAAAAATTATACTAATCAAACACATTAAATTAACAATTCCCTACAAAACAATTTTTAGACAATTACTTTCCCTGAAATTCATTTTCTTTTCATCTATTTTCCACCCTTACAATCAAACGGACTCTTAGTGGATAAAAATACTATGGAGTAAGGTATGGAATTCAAAAGTCCAAAGAAAATGCTAAATTATCAGGTTGCAATATTTTCGAATATCAGGTTGCAATATTTTAGAATAATTTGGCAATGTTTGAGCCAAATTATTCTAGAATGAAAATGAAAAATATAGCCGTTATTAGTGCTCACATAAGAGATAGAAAATTTGAATTTAAATGTTGATGTGATGAATAACAATCATATTTTTTATTTTAATGAGATAATAATGTAGATCAAACGGGGACATAACAATAGTCACTTGTAAAACAGATGAATACGACTAAAATAAGGTCAATTTCTTTATTTGAGTTTAATAATGTTAATTTTTTAAATTTGACGAGAGTGAGTTTAAACACGATATTGTATTCAAAATGCAATTTATAATTTTCAAATGAAAAAAATTGTAATTTGGACACGCACTGTGTAGCTTTTCGAGGATAAAAGTCAACTCCCAGTCGAGCATTGAAAACTAGCTAAATCATATTTGAACTTGATATACCAACCTAATTACCGACAATAAATCTACTCATTGATCAGAAGACACATGCTACCATAATTCTGTTTGGTTCTAGTTTTTAAAACTCGTTTTTAACTATACATTTGATGAGATCTATAACTTTTATCAATTTTTCAAATATACATTTTATTGATTATTATTAAAATGTTATTGAAATTTTGATTTTTAGCCGAAAATTAGACCAGGGACAATGTATTAAAAGAAATGTACAGTGTCACACTTCAATAGCCATTTGGCACATCTACTAAAACAAGAGTATTTACCCATTTCATTTTCTTCCGACATAGGTGATCCATCCTCGTTGTACTCCGCTATCTACAGTAGAAATTTGACATTTGAAACTTTGTTCAAAGTGTACAACAATGTATTGCGCATCTCATAAACACTGCACTAAAAACTACTGCAGACAATCAAATCTGACCACTGAAAGTACCAATATATGCATAGCGCATCTCATAAACACTGCACTAAAAACTACTGCAGACAAACCAATCTGACCTCTGAAAGTACCAATAAATACGGGCTGAAAGAAAATGAAACCAATGAACGACAAGAAACAATATTAGAGACAATATTTCTCTTCAATAAATATTAAATTCACACACATTTTCAGATCCCAAAGAAGCCGAAAATCAGTAAAACTCTACACTCGCCGAAATATTTGCTAAACTCAGATTCCGCATCAGACACAAATTCATAATTCATATCTTGAGGTTAAGATTTTTCTGTCCGAAAACTTGTACCACTAGCACTGAAAAAGATTGATTTTTAGGGTTTTGAAGGTCTGGTAATTGAAATGGAGAGGTTGGGATCGGATGAGGTGTTGTCAGGGATGGAGACAAGCATGAAGGAGGAGCTGTGCATGGAGATCGATCCGCCGCTCAAGGAGAGCCAGGCAACCGCCGATGACTGGAGGAGAGCCCTCAACAAAGTGGTCCTCGCCGTTGTTGTCCTCCGCACCACCGCTTGCCGCGCCTTTGACACCGAGTCCGCCGGCGCCTCCTATGCCACAGGCTTCGTGGTCGATAAGCGCCGTGGCATCATCCTCACCAACCGCCACGTTGTCAAGCCTGGTTCAAAATTAATCTTTTTTTATCTTTCTCCCTTTAGCTAAGTTCTTTTTCTTTTTCTTGAACGTGGTTCGACGATTGTTATGTTTCTTGTCACAGGGCCGGTGGTGGCTGAAGCTATGTTTGTGAACCGTGAAGAAATTCCGGTGTATCCAATATACAGAGATCCCGTGAGTTGTTACTGCTTCATTTCATGAATAATTCAGCTTTCTTGTTGGAGTACTAATCATAATCTTACAATTCAAAACTGGCCGGGTAGATTTTCAAGTTTTTGATGTAATAGGAGTCAAATTAAAAACTTAAGAATTTATTTACCAGAACTAATATGGGAACAGAAAGAAGGGATATATTGCATGAGTTGGACTATTGATTGAACAAAAGTGTGCTTGAGTTGTATTATTTGTTGAAAGTTTCTACATTGAGAACTTATAATTAGATTGTTAACTGGCAATCCAGCTAAAGTTTATTTTAATGAATAACAGATCCAACCTAATACGCAGCTGTTCATATGGCCTTCCTAGACTTGTCAGAAATTATTATTTTTTCAGTCCCTATCCTTGTCAAATGCATAAGCTGCACACAGTTTTTTCATGTAGTTATAAAACTTGAAAGTTCCTGTGTAGTTTTAATACTCCAAAATTGTTTCTTTCCACAGCAATCTTGCTTAAGATAGTTTTCTTAAATAACAGACCCATTGTGCAACTTAATATGCAGTGGTTCATATGTCCTTTTAGTCTCGTCCGAAATTATTATTTCTTCAGTCTCTATCCTTGACAAATGCATAAGCTGCGGACAGTTTTGTCGTGTAGTTATGACACTACAAAGTTGTTGTGTAGTTGTAACACTTCAAAATTGTTTCTTTCCACGGTCATCTTGCTTTCTACAATGTCTTGCTTTTGGTAATTGATGGAGAACAATCCAAGGGCATGGCAATCTAATGCGACTGGTGGGCTACAAAATCCTATATCTATTCACACACTTACTGTGAGATTAACCTCTGGTGAATGTTGTTTTATCTTAGATGTATCCTCTACTCATCTTTCTTTTGGCACATTACTGCATCTGCTTGCTCCTTTGACCTCTTCCATTGAAAGGGCCATTCCTTGTTTTAAGTGAAGATATTATTGAAGAAAAGAGATGCATCATGGCGCCGAATCTTAATGATTGATACCCACTTTCTTTTTCAGCAGTTTGCTAGTTGCCTAGTTACACGTGTCTCTGTGTGTGTGTGTGTGTGTGTGTGAGAGAGAGAGAGAGAGAGAGAGAGAGAGAGAGAGAGAGAGAGAGAGAAGCTGTCTATCACTTTCTTAGTGGAAGTTTGTCTAGATCTTTCTTTAGCCTGATAAGGGTTGAAATCGTACCTTAGATCTATATCAGGTAAGTTGTGCTAACATGATGCTTTGTTTTTCTAGGTTCACGATTTTGGCTTTTTTCATTATGACCCTTGTGCTATACAATTTCTGAGCTACGAGGAGATTCCTCTTGCTCCTGAGGCAGCTTGTGTTGGACTTGAAATCAGGGTTGTGGGCAACGATAGTGGGGAAAAGGTATGCAGATCTTTTCTTGTCAATTGATTTATTGTATGGCAAATTTAAATCCCTAAGAAATTAGACCATGTCTATTAGTAAGAACTAATAATTGATCTGTTTGTAGTATTTACAATATCATGTTTCTTGCCCACTGGTTAATGGTGGCCAAGTTGATATTTGGCTCAATCTGGACTTCATGTCTGTCTACAAATATAATGAATGTAGTGATGAAGCATTTTTGCTTTCACTCATCTTGGATTTCTTTCTGAGTTTTCTACATTAGTTGCATCACATAATCCTCAATCTGCATTATTTTTAGTATATTTTGCTCCTTTCTGAATCTACAGGTCTCTATTTTGGCTGGTACCCTTGCTCGTTTGGACAGAGATGCCCCACACTATAAAAAGTATGTTAATCTATTTGCCATTCTGATTCTGATTTGTATCTGATTGCTTATTCATGAACTTGCAATATCATTAAGAGTAGTAGTGGGGGGAGACCTTAGTGATGATTTTTGAAGTCTGAAAATTATATGATTGATTTCTACCAAATAATTGTCAAGTATTGGAATTCGAGCGTTTTATGAGAGCTTCACATCAAGCGGAATTCAAGGCCTATACTTCAAGTTGGTTTTTTTTAGACAATGGATTTACCTATTGTTCCGATGGAGAGAAGAACCTATGATCCAAGAACTTGACATTCAGTTTGTTAGATATAAGCTGAAAAATGATTGCAAATATTCTTTCCTTATCTACTTGTGCATTTTGATTGATTAAGTGACAATGTCTTCCTGTGTACTACATTCTGCACTCTTTTCTCCCTATGTAATTTTGGTTGTGAAGAATCTTCTATTGCTTATTTTGTTATACGACATGCTGTATCATTTCTGTTTTAAATCCAACCATTGTAGATTGAATTAAATGTTTCCAGCACAACACTCTCGTCTCATGTACGCTCTGCATTTTCTAATAGTGTTTCAGATGCAAGCAATATTGCTTTCTCCATTGACCAATTATTTAATTTTCGACAGAAAAATTGTTTCTGTAGTAAGACAGTTCTGATATGAATCGTGGCCTTAAAAACCGATCAACTTACTGTCCATACCAAACTAAGTCATTGAATGATTGGTATAGGAGTATTTTATAGACACTGATGAACTTTCTACACTTCAGTTGACCAAGTTGACTTATATGTGCAAAAACTCGTCTTTTCCTCAAAATTTTATCTTAGGCTTCTACGTTGCTAATTGGACATACATCTTCGTGTCTTTAATTTACCGAGAGGTTGAAGATCTTTCCTTACATTCAGTACGTTTTGTCTGGCTGGTCAAAATTATTGACAAGCATTACAGAATCATTGTTATATTTCGTTTTGGTCGAACCATTAAGGTTCTTCATAATCTGTAATTACCAATAATAATTCTGGCTCAGTTTATGCTTGGATCAATATTGAAAGTTTCTCCTCCCATTGTCATTTTAATGATGAGTGTATTATCTTGTGCAGGGATGGGTACAACGACTTCAATACATTTTACATGCAAGTAAGATTTATGATATCAATTGCTTTTCATTGCAAAATCAATGTTACCCTGCTGCAATTGAAGCAAACAGGAAAAGGGGGTGGGTGGGGGTATTGGTGATCTGGATTTATTTTTGTTCACTTAGATGGCTAATAGATAGAGTATCTGGCTTGGCACTTTGTATGGATTTTTCACACTGCTGCTGATATGTTCTGATATTCAAAATTCTTTATTCTAGCCACGTTCTTGGTTATTTCATAGGAATAAACAGGCCGTGATTGAAATATAGAGAGAACTTTTGAATACAGAGGTTAAAACATGTAAGCAACATCAGTCAGATCAAGAAAGAGAGTAGTCACAAAACATTTTTTCTCAGAATCATGGGTTTTATGTTACAGAGAGAGTCTGTAGAAGATGGTATTGCTTAGATGCACTATGCTCCACTGTGCCTAGTTTCACCTGACTTGCAATTTCTCACCGTTAATTGGCATTTTATTTTATTGTTATTGGCTAAACAAATGTGGAAATTTTTTACACACAAATTGGCAAGTTTATTTCATAAAAAAATACTTAACTGTTTATCTTGTTTAATGCCATTATTTTTAGTTTGTATTACAACTTTCAGACGGTAATTAGCTTGATGACTTTGATGTTCTTGCATTCTCAACCTTTGTAATTATAATGTGCATGTTTGGTCCTCAAGTGTTGTCCTTTGTGCAGATTGAGTCCTTCTCCATGCAAGTTTCAGCCTTTGTCTTCTAATTACATCCAATTGATTCTTGTCATCTTCTCTTGGTCCTCATCATCTTTTGGATATTTGTAACATAGTTCCCAAACTTTGGAATTCTTTCTTTTCGTCGGGTATCATTCATTTATTCCAAATTTACTTTGAATCATCAAGTTTTACCTAACAAATAACATATACAAGAGATTAAGCTATAATTCATCAAAAGTACTCTCAAATATCCATATTTAACGGCCTAGATAAGTTCATAAATACACTTATCAATGTCCTTGAGTGTCACTGAGCGTCGGGGTCTGACACGACATAACACACGTTCGATATTCTGCCCTATTCTAACCGGATGCTATAAAGCAGCTTAGTAATCTATGTAGGCCATATAAAATAAGTTTGTTTGGAAGTAATGTATATTTGAAGCTTGTATGGTCTTATGCTGATTTGGGAGTCGGGGAGCTGACAGTAGTTAAATTTTGATAAACAACTAAATAGTCCAGATGCACAAAGTGCAAAGGTGGTATTTTTATTGAAGTAGTACCATTGTTGTTGCCACTGCTTACAAATTCCTATCTCATATATGTCTATAGTAAATTATCAGATTTGGTTATTTGACCTTAAACAATTTGTTATATTTGGAACTTTGTTGATTAACATCTGAATTTTTGCCCTTTCTATGATGACTGAGTTTTCTTGCTCTGTCCGGTTCCGAATCTTATCATTATTTTGTGTCCAGTTGATTGCTTCTCTTCACCTTTTCGGTAATTTTACATACTACAGGCAGCTTCCGGAACAAAAGGTGGTTCAAGTGGCTCCCCTGTAATTGACTGGCAAGGCAGAGCAGTTGCCTTGAATGCTGGGAGCAAGACATCCAGTGCTTCGGCCTTTTTCTTACCTTTAGAACGAGTAAGTAATTTTCTGATGTTTGGCCATTAGCAGTCGTTATATATATTTGGGGCATCTGGTTGATTTTTTCTAAATGAAAGCTGGACGATAACCTTCCCTCCATGGTAGGAGAAAGTTCAGTTCAACTTAATTGTTTACAGAAAGAAACCTGAAGATGGAATTGACATTTTAAATACAAGAAACTTCTTTCTTTTCTGTGGAAATATTAGTGCTGCTTCTTCAAGATCCTGTTTGTCTGAACTCTCTAGATGGGACACTACCCTATTTTCCCTGGTTTTTATAGGTTGAACCGTTGATCATTGATATCTTCCTGTTTCAACTTATTTTTGGTTTATTTTCCGTCACTGTACAGATGTAGGTTCACCTACATATGTGCTATTATTAAGAACTGTTATCAAAATGGAACTTAGGTTACATTCTTGCAATGAAATTACCTTCTTTCTACGTTAATCATATATGAAAATACCTTTTGATCTTTCAAAAAACTTAAAACAATAACTTGAACTTAGTTAAATGGGACTCTGATCTCGTGTGCCTAATAACTGATAGTCTGTTAAACTGGCTTGCAGGTTGTGAGGGCATTAGATTTCTTACAGCAAGGAATAGATTCTACTACAAATAAATGGAAGGCTGTCACCATTCCTCGGGGTACACTTCAGGTTTGTCAGTTCTTTCTTATAGGGCTATATCTTTGTCCTCCCAATCTGTTTTGTGTTGTAAATGTAACACCGCCATTGTATAATTTACTTAATGATGTTCACATTTTTACATTTGGGATAAAATAATTGGATAGATTTTTTGTTGCATGCATCCTTGCATGACTGCAAGACTAACTCTCCTTATATGCTTACCATTGTATTATCTCATGACTTTCTGATTACAAGTGCATTGAAATTTAGTTTCATAAATTATCTATCTAACCTTTCTTATCTCCTCTGGAAATACTTTTGTTTATGGTGCTTTGCATTTGAATAAGCAATGAGTCAATCACTGAAACTTTGGATACTGTACAAGTAGCTTTTATGCCGTACATGCACTAACTTACCATTTCCAATAAAAAAAGATTTATTTGAAGAATTTAAATTTACTGATCAAAGAAATTTCTCAACATAATTAATGAAGATTTTTCAGATATTATAAGAGGAGTAATAAAGTGGTACCTGCGAAGAACTGCAGATTTCATGGAAAGGGAATTTAATTTGATTAGTTGCTTTAGCAAGCTTCTGTTCTCCGTGACCTCTGAACATTGGAAATTGGTCATAACATGTATTAAGCATCCCAAATTGGTCAAGGGGATGACAATCTGCTAGAAATTTAATTGTTTTCTTACAAATGGACCACATCTTTTTTAGTTAAAATATGCTTTGTAATTGTTTGAAGTGAGTTTTTGTTCTTATTTATCTTTCACATTCTTTCATTCTGGGTTTCCCAAAGGTAATGTTTGGTTTGGGTTAAAATTTTGCATGATATAGGTTACTTTTCTCCATAAAGGCTTTGATGAGACACGTCGACTTGGGCTCAGAAGCGAAACGGAACAGGTTTAAACCCCCACATTCTTCTATTCATCATTGATCATGAGGCTTCCATTCTTCCAGATTGTACTTATGAATTTCTTGAAGTAATTGTCAAAATCACCAATGCATGATATTCTCTTTCCAATTTTAATGAATTAGCTGGTGCGCCATGCATCTCCACCTGAAGAAACTGGAATGCTTGTTGTTGATTCTGTGGTGAGTATATATTTCGGTGCATTGTGTCATTAAATTTATATACTAGTTTGTTAATATTAGTGATAACCGAACAGCAAGTAGTGTTGTTGCTTTTGTTTTCATTTGAATGTGGCATATTCCTGCCTTGGTTTCAGGTGCCAGGTGGCCCAGCACATAAGCTTTTGGAACCTGGTGATGTGCTTGTTCATTTGAATGGGGAGGTAACTTTCCTCTATAATTTGTTTTGGCGTTTTTTACTGTGCTGATGGTTATGCTTGTATGAGTGGGCACTGTTGATTATATTAATTCTAGTAGAGGATCTATATCAATTAATTATATCTTCGGTAAATACATTTATGATATCATGCTATTGCCTTGTTAGGATTGATTACCTTCTCCCAGTGTTATTAATTTGTTATTGATGCAGAATGGGGTAATTATGAGAAAGAATAAATTTAAATACTATAAATTGAATTGAATTATTTCTATGCCTAAAATAAGTGCTCAACTCTGGCAAATCTTCACTGCTATCTCCATCAGTTATCGTGCCTGATATATTGTATTAATTTTCCAGCTTCAGAGGGCTTAGTCTTGAGTAGGACAAATCAAACATTCTGATCAAGTCGCTGCAAATCCACATGTTACAAGAACAGTTATATAATCATCCTAGATAATTGGAGTGATGTCAAGGATATTACAGTATCTCTCTACTAAGAGTGAAATGTTGAAAAACTTTCTTCCTTTTTGGATGACGTATGATAGTCATTCCTATATGAAGAATAACTGGAGTTTTTTCAGAGTGTCTTGTATGACTTATTTTGAGTAAAATCGACAAAACTAGTTCAAGGTCGTAAGATACTTGTGGTTGTGAATAATTGAAAGAGAACAGTGCTTTTGTGGATTGGATATATTCACAGTTTAAATTCATATTGTGACATGTTATAAAGCCCAAGGCAGAGCTTACATACGTGATGAATAGTGGTGGTTCTGGTTTTTGATTTTTATATTATCTTTTTATTCTTTAATGCAAAGTTAATTCTGAACATCGTGATGGCAGGTGACTACCCAATTCCTGAAAATGGAGAGTTTACTTGATGAAAGTGTTAACCATAAAGTTCAACTTCAAATTGAAAGGGGAGGCAAGCCTTTGACTGTGGAACTGCTGGTGAGATAAATGCTCAAGTCCGTAGAATTTTACATTTTTTGGTTCCTCCATGGCTGGGTGGACAGACTGTTTCTGTTCATCATTTTACTGCTAAAGAACCTTCCATGATCCAAACATAAGCAATCCTATCTAGATAATTCATCAATTCCTCTATCAATATACCTTTGTTAGACATCTCTTATGGAGTTGGTAAATAAAATTTTCTAAATTGGTGAACTGTTGCGATTCTTAGTATGGACAATTTAGTTTATGCAACTAGTTAATGTGATTGGAACAATGGTGAGAAGTAATAAGAAGAGGAAGGATGTGCAAGGTTCTCTGATGTATGGAGCTTGGTTTACCAAGTGTCCTGTAGAATTACTTTTTTTTGCTCTTTGGAATTTAATGTGTACAAAAACTGTTTTAATTAGCTCAATACTTTCTGTTGGTAGGCTGAACTATTTGTTGGCGGCTATATTTAAAATTCATGGGTGTTCAGGCTTCTGTCCAAGCGCAGAGAGCTACCCATTGAAGTTCTTTTGGAATCTTTTCACTAAGCCCTCCATTCAGATTCTTTATATTGACTCTCTCTGTGTAAACTATCTCAGGTTCAGAATCTGCACTCGATAACTCCTGATTACTTTCTGGAAGTTAGTGGTGCCGTGATACACCCTCTTTCTTATCAACAGGTTAACTTATACTGCTTTTACTTATCATCAGTTTGTGGCTGGTATAACTATGTTTGGTGTATCCTTGGCTTGAAATTTTCATGGTTTATGTGTGTCCCGTGACTTGATGACATACATCTTCACTGTTTCATCTAATAATTTTGTAGAGTTGCAGAAACACTTCCATTGAGCAATAGATTTATGTTTCTTAACTATATATTATGCCCTTGTTTGACATCCTTTAATTTATTTCTCATACTCATTTTTAACCACACATTCACACAATAAAATATTCTACGCATATACCCAAAACTTTTCTGTACTTTATAACCACACATCCTCCAAAAAATACTATTCAAAACTATGTTTTTAAAATTTTAAGGATGTCAAACAGGGGCTATATTCTGTCGGCCATTACAAAAATTTACCGTTTGCCATTATGTATCTGATCTGAAGGATAAAACCATGAACTGAAAGTTTATAATGAACATGCAATGATTAGAAGGAAATATAGCCCCTGTTTGGTGGAGATTAAAATCAGATTTTGATCAAAGTGGATGGAATGTGTGGTTGAAAAGTTGTGGGTTCTATGAAATATGTAGTTGAAATTAATTGTTGACTTTGATTTAGATTAAAATCTGAATTTTAATCCATATCAAGCATGGGCATAATGATTCATCTGCCATTAAAAAAATTTACTTTTTGCTATTATGGATCTGAAGGATAAAACCATGAACTGAAAGTTTATAATGAACATGCAATGATCAGAAGGAAATATAATGATCCTAGGAAGCTAATGAAGAAAAGAAATGATGTTTACACTGGTCCATTTTTGTGAAGAAAGACCTCTCTCTATGGATTGTTTATATCCTTCTGCCCTAAAGTTTTTGGTGCTCTTTCTGGACAATTTTTTTCTTGTTTATTTTGATACATTCAGAATCTTTTCTTATGGAAAATGAATTTTATTAAGAATAATGTTACTTTTACATAAAAGAGTTATGTAATGGTTTACATACGGATGATGTGTTAAAAAGAGAGGGGAAGGATTTTTTTTTTTAATTTTGTTGAAGAAATTATGATCCAATCATATGTCACCACATCATGTGTATGTAAATCATCATGTAGATCATTATGTACATGTAGCACAACCGTTTTATTAATTGCATGCTAGTGTTTTGTACTTTTCGTGTTTGCTGTTGTATACACATAATAGAACTTAAATGTTAGTTTAAGCTACCGGTGACTATTGAGATAAGTTGGCACTATTAACTTTCTTATTTATAGTTTTTGAAGTTAATTTTGCTAACCAATCCTTATGACTTTTGATGCCGGGGTTGTCTGTCATTTTAGAACCCACAAGGTAATATTTTGCCCCTTGAAAAAATTGCTAGATGTGGGTGTGGTGAAAGATCGGGAATATCAAGTGTTAGGAAGTTGTAGCTTCCCCATGAATACTACAATTCTGCCTTTTCAAAATCAGATTGACAATGCTGGTGCCTGCTCACATTTATTTTCCAATGCTGTACCTATCTAACCTTGTTTTGCATTGTTTGAATACCTGGAGTGTTGTATTTGAAGTATTGTGTGGGAAAAGTGAAGGTGGGGAAAAAGAAAAAAAAATTCAGGCATATTTTGATTGAATGGGAAGCTCAAGTAAAAATGGGTAATAATTGAAGAAAAAAGTAGTTGGATGGTAGTTAAAAAATTCCAGTGCTCGTCTGTTAAGAATTGCTGGAAGGTTTTCCCTTGCAGGATGTCCTCTCATTATTTTCTTGCCAATGAAATACATGTAAAGTTTGTAATACCTCATTTGAATACTTTCTTTTTGAGTCATCCAAATGGTTCCTTGCTGTTCTCTGTTTCTTCCCTATTTATTAATTTTTAAAATTAGGATAGTGAACTGTATTGAGGGAGAGATGGTAAATACTAAGAAAAATAGGATATGGCCTCAATTGAAAAACTAAAAGCATCTCGCAGGTGTCATGTTCGTAATGTGGGTGTTATACTTTTTCCGTTTTAATTGTGTATTATTGCTATGATGTGCCACGATTTCTCTCACTTTTGAATGTAATTCTTGGTTCCATGTGCAGGCAAGGAACTTTCGGTTTCATTGTGGTCTTGTATATGTTGCGGAACAAGGGTATATACATTTATTATCTTTTTCGTTTGCCAGTATATCTAGTAATCTTCTTTGATGTATGTATAGGGATGGCAATGAAGAGGGGTTGGGTGGGGAGACCACAGTGGCCATGCCTACCGTAAATGGAGTGGGTAAGGGGTGTAAAAATGAGATACGCAAAAGATCACAGGGCATGCCCCCAGAGGGTATGGGGCCATCCTATCTGTGTGCTACCCCCGCTTCGTATAGCTGTAAAATTACTGAAGTACACCGTTTAGTTTTATTACAAAATGTATAGGCATATAAAGGTGAACAGAAATGATTTGGGTTTTACCCCCTCTTCATTAAGTTGCCCAGAATCTTCAAAAATCTGCATCGTGAAGATGATTTTTAGATGGAGATGGTTTGAGTACTAAGATGACATTTAAATCATTGTTTCTTGCTATACTGGATAAATTAGATTTTCATCTTCATCTTTTGAACTTTGATGTGTGTAAACTTTTCCTAGTTAATGTTGGTAGCTGATTTTGATTGAACATTTTTTATTGTTGGAACACTTTGTTTAGCTTTTAAATTAATTGTGATTTACACTTATTTAGCCCCTGTTTGACTCTGTTTAAATTAAAACTCTTTATATTTTTTATACTCATTTTCAACCACACATTCACACAATAAAATATTCTGTACTTAAACCCGAATTTTTTCCTACTTTCTAACCGCTCATTCTCCAAAAAAAATACTATTCAAAACATCATTTCCCACTGATTTCTCTTTATAATGCCGTCAAACAGGGGATTATATTAAATAATATGATCAGGAATACGATACAAAAATCAATAATTTTGACAGAAAGATAAAGGAACAAAAATGAGTGGATTGCTTAAACAGTCGCCTGATGGGGATGGCAAGCAGGTTTGGGTGGGGAATGTGGCAAGGTTTTGAGAAGTCACTCTATAGCCACCCTGCCCATTCCCTCCACATTGCCATCTCTATGTAAGAATATATGGATTCTGCTTTTTAATTAGAAACAATCAAGTTAAAGAGAGAGGTTTCCTTTATGATTCCCATCTCGAGTAGAGAAAATTCTACCTCATTTCTATAGTGATCTTTTTTATTTACAAGAAAGAATGAATGGTTCCCATTATCATGTACAGATATATGCTATTTAGAGCTGGAGTTCCACGCCATGCTATCATTAAGAAGTTTGCTGGTGAAGACATATCAAGTGTTGACGACCTTATATCTGTGCTCTCTAAGTTGTCCAGAGGTGCAAGAGTACCATTGGAATATATAAGCCACACAGATCGTCACCGAAGAAAGGTAGATGTCACTTCTCTTGAAGTCTAGTTCGAGATAATATGCATGTCTTTTGGTGATTACTGGACAAATTTTCATATGGTCTCACTTAATATTTTTTAGATTTTCTGTTTCTTTGATAAAATTTGATTGTTGAGTGACGCATAACTTAGTTTTACGATGTGGAAGTCATGGTAAAGGAAGTACTAACTAGCACCAAAACAAGGAAAAAGTAGATGAATTGAACTTTTAAGACAAATTTAATTTTTATTTATAATAAACTTCTGATTGAGCAGAATAATTTTTTGTCATTAAGGCTTTCACGAGACATTGCTACTTTGGCAATTTTGATGTCTTTGGACATTCTACACTACATTATCCTGACTCGTTTAGTTCTTAAATTTGATAGTTGAAATTTCTTAGAATTGTGTGTCCTAGAATATCAAGAAAAGAGAGTGTTTTATTTGCAGTACATATGATATATTTTTAGTGGACAAAAATAAACATACTGATGTTCTTGGGACCCTCACATATATCGAATCTGGTTCATCTTTTCGTAGATAAAACTAGATTCTGGGGACTCTATTTCCTCTGAACAATTGATAAATAGTGGGCTACAAAACATGCTTGATTGAATGTTTCGCTAGCATCCAAAGCTAGAAAGTTTCTCTAGGTTGTGTTTCCTGCTTTCCTTTGGTTGAGTTCATTTTCTTATAATTGTGAACTGGAGTTTATGCCCACTGCATACCAAAGATAAATATAATGATGTTCTTGGGGGTCTCCCTTCACATCTCTCAAAACTGGGCAGTTTTTTGTATATGTAATGAACATACAACTAGAATATCGGTAGCTTTTACTTCTCAAAACAATTAATCAATTTAGGACATTGTGTAATATGCTTGATCGAACGAAGCATTATTATCCAAGGCTAGAAAGTGTCTCCAGGTTGTCTTTCTGCTTCCCTCTGGTCGAGCTTGTATTTATCATAAGATGATAGACATGAGTTTCCTATTCTATGTTTATAGCTATGTATACTTCTAAGTATTAAGTACCACACAACACCTACCTTAAGATAAGGATTATACTTGTTTCGGTGGTTTTCGTCTTCTTGAATTTATGAACTAGCTTTTGTATGCTTAGTATTCTTTTCCTTTTCTGCTGATATAACCACATTATTCTGTTTCCAAGTATCAAGTAGCGTACGCCTAGCTTAAACTAAAGCGGAGACTGGTTTTAGTGGTTCCTGAATTGATTATGCTTTGCATACTCATTATTCTTTTCAATTCTCTACTGATATAACTTCATTATTAACTATGTATTTTAGATAATGATGCTTGTATAGATTTATCTAAGATGTATAGCTGACTATTGCAAGAGTAATTGGAAGATTTTCTTTAACATTTCTTTTTTGCTGCAGTCTGTCCTAGTCACTGTTGATCGCCATGAGTGGTATGCACCTCCTCAAATATACACTCGTAATGACAGTTCTGGTTTATGGAATGTAAAGCCGGCTTTGCCAATCAACTCTCCACTTCTATCATCTACCATCGATCCCATTAAACAAGATCTAGCAAGCACGACTATTTCATCGGGTATTTCTGTTTCTCCAATGGAACAAACACATCACCATGTCAACCAAGAACCGTTGGATGGTGTTACCAGTATGGAGACTAGCTGTGAACATGTTGCTGATGGACCACATTGTGAGGATGAATCTGATGCTGGATCTAAAAAAAGGAGGGTGGAGGAGGATACATCTGCTGATGGTTCCATACTGCCTGATTCCTTACATGAGCTGGTGGAAGAAAGATTAGAGGACTCTGGAACAGCAACAGATGCTGTTTTGAGAGATTATCAAGGTGGAGTAGCTGTAGCAGCTAATGCTTCGCCGGAGCGTGTGTTAGAACCAACCCTCGTGATGTTTGAGGTAACATGATAAAATTATTTTAGTGTGTTCACTTCTGTGTTTGTGCTTGCTTTTCATTCTCTTAGGGTGAGATTCTGCATGAAATTTAATTTAGGTTCAAAATGTGTTATATGCACACTCTATTGATGGAGATTACTTTGTGGAAGAAATAATGAAGAGGGATGCAAGGGGAGGAGGAAGAAATAATGAAGAGGGAGGGGAAGAAAGTTGAAGAGGAATAGGGAGTTGGTATAGCAAAGGCTGAGGGCTAGGAGCCATTGTGAGGCAGGCTGTTGAAATGGGAAACAGGAGGGTTTTTTGAATGTTTTCCATCAATATTTGATCTCCGTAGAACAGGTTTACAGGAAAAAGAGAAGTAGACCAAAATAATATGGCTTGAGGTGGTGGAAAAAGATTTTTAAGTTCCTCCTGCCTTTGGATCGCAGAGACTGGAAGATGTAGCCGACGAAGTTCAATGTGAACGAAGCTTAGGTTCTTCTTGTATTTTTTTTTAAATTGATGATGTACTTCCGTTTGTATAATCAATTTAAATGACTCATGGTTACTGTTTATACTTTGTTTTCATGTATATTCACATGCAGTATGCACTGTTCAAGTGTTTAGATCAGTAATTGATTTTTAGGTTTCATCGTAAACTTCACTGGTTACTTTATTTCGTAAACCAAGTGTTCAAATCAATAAAATCGCTTTTTGGTTTTTCAAAATTTTCAGGTTCATGTACCAACATCATGTATGGTTGATTGTGTCCACTCGCAACATTTCTTTGGCACTGGAGTCATCATATATCACTCTCAAAATATGGGATTGGTTGCAGTTGATAAAAACACGGTGGCAGTGTCTGTCTCTGACGTGATGTTGTCTTTCGCTGCTTATCCAATTGAAATTCCTGGCGAGGTAATTTCAAATCTTTTAAGCTGTGGATACAGTTGTTGTATGTTGTTATTAAGGAATGCAATCATCTTTTGTAGGTTGTCTTTCTCCATCCTGTGCACAATTTTGCTCTAGTTGCATATGATCCTTCCTTGCTAGGTGATGGTGTTTCTGTAGTTCGAGCTGCTGAACTCCTCCCCGGTATGTTTTCAAATTGCATTGACACATCTGCTTCACATTTCTTTTCCATCCGCCCCTATTGGTGCATTTGTAGATCGTTAAGTGTGGTTTACATTTGGGATAGAAACATCCCTGTCTCTCAAAAAATAGAACCTCTATGATTACTGTTATTTGACAACATCCACCCCAAGATATCCTCAGCATTTCGTCTTTTCACCCCCATAGAAATTTTGGTTCAAATGGATTTCAAAGCTAAATAATGATGCGAGTATGCTGCAAGATGGAGATTTTACTTCGTAAATGGACCTAAGTTAGAAGACAAGCTAATAAGGACACAGGACTTCAAAATGGAATTAAGCGAGCAATTTTGGATGTTGAGAAACTTGGAATCCTACGTCTCTTGCATGCCTTTGGGTTGCCAGAATTCACAGCGAGTGTCAGATAATAGTCACCTCTCGGATATCAACCTTCTATTTAGCCTCTATTTGAGAAGAATTTATAGGCGGTTTAATTTTTAAATAGCTAGAATCAAGTTGTGGATAAGTGAGTAGTATTTGTTGGTGCATTGAAACGTGTGATTGAAAATGAAGTTAGACCGTTTATAAATTTTGCCAAATGGAGGCTAATATGTTGTGGTTAATAGTCTATCCTACTGTGACACCGGCCATTCAGCTGATCGTTCTGGCCTTACCAAAACTGGATCTTTTTTCATTTTGGTTTTTCAACGTGTTTATATCAATTCATTTTGGTTTACGTCAATATGATATTTGCCCAAAATGTGGATTGTGGGTAAGCAGATTACGATTCAACTTGTAGTCCTCAATGTTTATTATTTATATGCGAACTGCTCATACTCGTTTGGAGAAGCAATTTTTTATTACTGGTGGAAGGTTGATCGTATCCTAATCCATTGCTGCCTGTTTAGTATGCCCGGTTGAATTGAATTTTATATTTCTTTCTTATTTGGAAACACTATTTGATTAAATTCAGAACCTGCACTGTGTCGTGGAGATTCTGTCTATCTCGTGGGTTTGAGTAGGAGTCTACAGGCTACTTCAAGGAAATCCTTTGTCACCAATCCTTGTGCTGCTCTAAATATTGGTTCTGCTGATTGTCCCCGATACAGAGCAATCAACATGGAAGTAATCGAGCTTGATACAGGTAATTGACATCACCTTGTTAATTGTTCTTAGACTTTGCTATCTATTCTCCTGCAGATTCTTCTTTTTTCCTGTTCCCGTCCTTGGGGACTGAATGCTGTGGCACTCACTATGTCCGTGCTTTAGATTTTGGTAGTACATTTTCTGGTGTTATAGCTGATGAGCAAGGACGGGTTCAAGCAATATGGGGAAGCTTCTCAACTCAGGTTTGTGCTTTTCACTGCTTCTGGAGTTTGTATGAGCTTCTACATTGCATAAACATGCCGAATTATTACATTTTATATTCCAACTTCCAGCTCAAATACGGTTGCAGTTCATCTGAAGACCATCAATTTGTTCGAGGGATTCCAATTTATACAATCAGCAAAATTCTTGCCAAAATCATAGATGGTGCAGAAGGACCTACTCTTCTTATAAATGGAGTCAAAAGGCCAATGCCGCTTGTAAGAATATTAGAGGTTGAACTTTACCCCACTTTGCTTTCTAAAGCTCGCAGTTTCGGATTGACTGATTCTTGGATTCAGGTAGTCTATTCTACTTTGAAAAGTTCATTTTTTTTCCTCCTCTCAGGAGTTAGTATTTCATTATTCTCTTTCTTTGGTGGGTTCAAAGGGTTTAAATTCTAGTTTGAAATGAATGCAGAATTTAACATGAAGCAACGAAGATGATACAATGAGTATTTCGATGTCTTTTAACGTTTGCATATGCATTTTGATATGTGCTCAGTGTGATTGTATCACATTAATCATTTTACCAATTATATTATCGAAGACATTTAACATATTTTGCTAAGATTGGCACCACATTAAGTTTTGGTACATCATTTTCAGGCACTTGTGAAGAAAGATCCTATTAGACGTCAAGTTTTAAGGGTTAAAGGATGCTTCGCAGGATCCAAAGCTGAAAGTCTACTAGAACAGGGTGACATGGTTTTGGCGATTAATAAAGAGCCAGTTACATGCTTTCGGGACATAGAAGATGCATGTCAAGAACTAGATAGGTGTAATGACAGTAGTGAGAAGCTTAAGATGACAATTTTTCGCCAGGTATGCATATTGAGCAGTTTCAGCTATTTGGTATTTTACATTTCAATATAAAATTTAACTGGAAACTTGTTAAATCATATCTTGTTTGGATACTCTTTCTTCAGTTAGACTGTTGGACCTTTTCGTTATTGATTATCATCTGTCATCCATATGGGTTTTCCAGGGTCATCAAATGGAACTATTGGTGGGAACAGATGTGAGGGATGGAATTGGAACCACGCGTGTGATAAATTGGTGTGGATGTATAATCCAGGATCCTCATCCTGCTGTACGAGCTCTTGGATATTTACCTGAAGAAGGACATGGCGTATATGTGGCACGGTAAGGTTCATAGCACAAGCTACTTAGTTGATATTGTTTTATTTGGCCAGCACTGATTTTGAGCAAGTACTATAGAAAATACTTGTAGGGTTCTTTCATGGATTGAGAATTAACTTGGCTAATAAGAGAATTGGAAAAGCTAGTTGAGTTTCTATCCTTGGTTACCATAGGATGCCAAAACAAGAAGGCACTTGACAGGGTTTCCTTGCAACTCCTGTCTGAACTAAACCCCTCAGCAGAGGCTAGGTTCTGCGAAAATGCCCCTTTTCGGCTAAATACGATTCAAAGTTACAATTTAAATCAATAATTTGAACCTTGACTGGTAAATGTAGTCAGATTACTTAAATTATATAGATCTGTGTGAATAGAAGCTAATGACTGGTGAGCAATCTTTTCAGGTGGTGTCATGGGAGTCCAGTGCATCGATTCGGTTTATATGCTCTTCAATGGATTGTCGAAGTGAACGGAAAACCAACTCCTGATTTGGATGCTTTTGTTACTGTGACCAAGGTACGCCTCAGTTATTGAAAGGCACTTGCAAAACCCATCTGAAATACAAGGGGTTCTCGTGCTAAAGCATTGCAGCCCTGATTCTTGAAACATTTTATCATTCGATTTGTAAACCAACAGGAAATAGAACATGGGGAATTTGTTCGTGTGAGAACTATTCACTTGAACGGGAAGCCTCGGGTGCTTACACTGAAGCAGGATTTGCACTACTGGCCTACATGGGAGCTGAGATTTGATCCTGAAACTGCAGTATGGTGTCGCAAGACAATTAAAGCATTAGATTGTAGCACCGCGTGATCATAGGTTTCTCCCAAGAAATGAATAACTGGTCTCGTTGGTAACTGTAGGATTTGAGCTGGCTGTGTATACACGTTTATACTAGGGAAGGTTCCTACAATTTGAGAATTAGAGAGTGGTTATTGGGAAAATATTTGCCGACTCTATATTTACTTAATAGACAATGTAACAACTGCATCCTATTGGAGTGGAAAAGTATAGTTTTTTTTTT